GAGAAACACGCTCAAAGCACGATGTTGCCACCCCCATGCTTCACAGTAGGTATGGTGTTCTTTGGATGCAACTCAGCATTCTTTCTCCTCCAAACACGATCATCCAAATGCTCTCTAGCAAACTTCAGTCAGCCCCAGACATGTAGTGGCTTAAGCAGGGGGACACATCTGGCACTGCAGGATCTGAGTCGCTGGCGGCGTAGCGTGTTACTGATGGTAGCCTTTGTTACATTGGTCCCAGCTCTCTGCAGGTCATTCACTAGGTTCCCTCGTGTGGTTCTAGGATTTTTGCTCACCGTTCTTGTGATCATTTTGACCCCATGGGGTGAGATCTTGCGTGGAGCCCCAGATCGAGGAAGATTATCAGTGGCCTTGTATCTCTTCCATTTTCTAATTATTGCTCCCACAGCTAATTTCTTTACACAAAGCTGCTTGCCTATTGCATATTCAGTCTTCCCAGTCTGGTGCAGGGTGACAATTTGGTTTCTGGTGGTCTTTAACAGCTCTTTGGCCTTCACCATAGTGGAGTTTGGTGTGTAACTGCTTGAGGTTGTGGACAGGTATCTTTCATACCGATAACAAGTTCAAATAGGTGCCATTACTATAGGTAATGAGTAGAGGACAGAGGAGCCTGTCTGTGAGACTCAGAAATCTTGCTTGTTTGTAGGTGACCAAATACCTATTTTCCACCATAATATGCACATAAATTCATTAAAAATCAGACAATGTGATTTTCTGGATGTGATTTCTCATATTGTCTCTTATAGTAGAGGTCTACCTATGATGTCAATTACAGGCCTCTCTCATCTTTTTAAGTGGGAGAACTTGTGCAATTGGTAACTGGCTAAATACTCCCCCCCCCCCCCCCCCCGCGTATAACTATACAGGTAGTGATCAAAGATCCTGATCTGTCAAGTTTCCAATTCAACAGAAAATTCACTGTGCAGGCAACATTCCACTCCCTTGAAAAACCTAACAGAATATTACCATCTGCAAGACATTCTCTCTATTGCTAGAAGGGACAATGAAATAACTTCAGGTGCAAAGCTTTAGAAGAGTTTCGGATGATGTCCGATAACAGAAAGCATGAAGTTTTACAATGAAGTTTAACTTGGAAAAATGCATGATATGCTTATGAGAAGTGTTATAATTTTCACAGGATCGAGTCCTTTAAACTACCACTTTTAAGGTGACAATACAAAGGTATCAAAGGGGTCTATCTACACTCCTGTACGGAATCTGAGCACTAGTTGTAAGGAAGCACACTGAGAATGTACCTATTATCTAACATGGGAAGTCTGTAATTTCTAAAACCAGCAATATTATATATATAGGCATTAAAGCAGCAAAGCTAGTTGTCTAGGCAACATCAAGTACAACCTACCACTGCTAGACACAGCCTTGAGTATTGATTAATCTAAGAGTGGGTATGCTCAACTGCTACCAAAAGCAGGACTAAATGTAGTGGGCTTAAGTTACAAGAGTAAAGATTTATCTTGAACACTTGGGAGAAACACTTAAAGGCTGTTCTGAGCTGGCTTTTTGAACATAATGGACAGACTGCCTCAAGCATGGAAACAAAGATTAAAACCTGGCTTAGTTGACTGTTATGGTCAACTGAGTAATCAATAATGGATTGCACACTAGAAAGTGGAGCAGAACAGTGCCTTGCAAATGGCTTAGTGCTGCCTGCACTGTGTGGCATATGATTCTGATACAAGAAATATCTTAAAATCAGGAGCGTAAAAATCTTGCTTGCATTGAGAATTATCAAACCTTACCAGATAACTCCCAAAGTATTAAGTACATTTTAACTCTGATGTTATGAATAGCTATCTAAAGTACAGAGAACAGAACATTATCCCCAGCATCATCATCATCATCATCATCAAAAAACAGCGACTCTGAAAGCATAACTTTTAAAACCAAATTTAATTTGCCTATGCTGCCCCATTTTTTTTAAAGAATAGGAAAATTGATGCCATTCCAGAAATATGATAAGATGGGTACATTAACAGTCAAACATGCAGCTGAATTTCTCTCTCCTTGTGCAGGAAATCTGCTTTTAGGATCTGTCCTCTATACATCTGGCCACGTTTCAAAATTAGTCAACAAAATGCTGGTGAAAAGTCTTAAAAACTCCTTACTTAGCAACCAACATAGGGAAAGAAGCAACCCCTCCTATGTAAGCATACAAGAGCCAAAGTAAAACATTTATACATATTTGTGACCCATTTTTTTGGCTGGAGAAACATTGGGCACCCATAAACTCCATACTGATTGAAACATGGATTATAAATGTTTAAAATTTAAAATAATAATGCAGTACCCATGCTTTGACTTATCAAAATCAAGCCCTTTTCCTCAGAAGGAAACCAGAATTGTGATTTTCTTGTTTGGGGCATCTGATGGCAGGGACATTTATGTGTAAGTATGTGCTTTCAAGTCACCTTGCTGAACACCTATTGTGTCATCCAATTAAGTCAGTTTTATTAACCTGATCTTTTAATCTTGCTGTTTTAGTGCTGCTCTTGCTCTCATTACTATTTTTATGGCAACCAATTGTTTTATTGCTGCTCCTAGGACTTTACTTCTGTTAAGTCTTAGCTGCTAAGAAAATAACAGGGGCAGAAGTATAGAAAAGTTTATTAGTCAGTGCTTCCTCCCTAAGAAATGTAATGCCTGGAATGAATGAAAGTCCTTGAATGCAAGCTTTTCTTTCACTGAAAAAGATAATGGCAATATTTATGTCTGACAGAATCTTTACCAAACTTCAGGCCTCACCTGAACTGCCTTTCATTACTTTGCATTTTTTTTGTGCTGAATGAGAATTTTTCATTCATTCTTGGCATGCAACCGCCTTTCATTACGAAACTCTGCATAAATTATATTAGCTACTGAAATCTTAAGAATATATTTATTCTAAAAACACAATCTGCTGATCCAGAATTTGAAAACATAGAGAAAAAATAACTAACAATCCTTATTAGAAACAAAAACACCCCACACTGCATTAAAACTAAACTACTAGCACAAGGGGAAATACTTTCAAACTGCTATCTACTGCATATCTCCCTGTTCTGAAACTCATTTTTACATCCCAATAAGTGGGATGTGCATATATATCAGATTTACAGCCTGATGCAGGATTACTTACAAATAAGTCTTGCTACAAATACCTGAGCTTACTCCTAAGTAAACATATCAAAGCAGTCCACAAATATATGTATCATTTCAACTATTTGGTTATACAGCCACTTTTATATTTATATTTTTTATTTCTAGATTCTATACTTAAACAGTACTATTGCTCTTACACTTTATGAGGTCTGATCCTCCCCATAGAGTCTATTTTATACACGCTTTTAACTAGGATTCATTTGTTATTTTATTGTGCTGTGTTTTTATGATTATATGTGGAATTGAATATTTACCTTTGTATTTGTCCTGAGTCCCTTCGGGGAGAGAGGGTGGGTTAGAAATAAATAAATAAATAAAGCTAACCAGTCAATAAGACAGACATGTTCTCTCTGTGTGTCATTTGCTGCTATGGTTTTTTTTTTAGTATTTATAGTAAGCCTTCTTTGCTGAGAAAGATAATTATTGCATCTAAACCCTGCCTTCTTGCTGCTTTTAGTCTGTACTCTATCAACATGCCAAAACTCACTTGTAAAGTATGAGAAATGAAGAACAAGTAGGACAAGTAAAGAATCAGGAAGTACCAGTAATTTAAAGGGCAAAAGAGAGCTAACATGCACTTGCCATATTTTGGTCATGCCTCTCCGATAAGGAGATACTGTATATTCTCTGCTTTTTTATTCTCACGTGTTGCTGTTACTATTTGTTGCTCCTTAGTGTTTATTGTGTTCCCCTACAGCATCCAAAGAATGGGATCATGGTAAGGGCTGGGCACCCAAAATGGTCAGAGGTCTGGAAGATGAGTCCTCTGAGGAATGGTACACTGAGCTGAGTGTTTATAAGTTGGAAAGGAGAGGACATAATAGCCATGTTTAAATATTTGAAAGGATGTCACATTGAGCAGAGGGCAAGCTTGTTTTCTTCTGCTTTAGAGACTAGGACACAGAGCAATGGATTTGATCTACAAGAAAAGAGATTCTATCTAAACATTAGGAACAATTGGAATGGTTTGGCAGTGGAATATGCTGATGCCTCGGAATGTGGTGGAGTCCCCTTCTCTAGAGTTTTTAAGCAGAGGCAGGACGGACATCTATCAGAATGCTCTGCTCTTTCTGCATGATAAGATAGGGTTGGACTGGATGATCCTTGGACTCTCTTCCAGCTCTAAGATACTGTTTTATAAATAAGGTGGAATTCCTCTGAAATTTTCTGTGTTCTGATAACTGCTTGTCATGTTTGTAAAAGTAGTAGCCCTCTATGCATTATGAAGAAATGTAAGTAATTTAATTCTTCATCTCTGTTAGTAAATAGGAAGTACTTTAACATTATTATGTAATTTAGGTGTACAATAGGCCTTATTAATAACAAAGCACTTTATTACAACATGTCTCTTCTTGCAAAAGTAACCTGAAAAACGTGCTTGTCCTGAACTCCACCCACATCTTAGGGGAAATAATGAAGAGCTCTCTTTTGCATATAAGAGATCTGGAAGTAGTCTGAACTAACTTGCATGACTTGGGTAAGCAGTGTCTCCACCCACATAAATAAATGAATTGAGTTTTAATCTACATCATCAAGATTTTAAGATACCAAATGTACACATTATTGAAAGAAGTTACATGCACACAGGAAAGGACCAGATTCAAAACGCACTTCGAAATTTGTCACAGCAGGTATGACATTAGTAATATGAATAGTATCTCTTTGGATCTGAAACTCCCTAGACTGAAATCTTCACACCACAAAGTTTATTGACTTAAGTATGTCATTCACAAATAGGCACATTCTTCTCACAAGAATGTCATTATTTTATAGCAATTTATTCAAAATAGTTTTTAAAAACAAAACGATAACATACTTACATGTTTAAAACAGTTAACAGGAGCTGCTGTGAAACTATTGCTATTGATGTAGTTTCCCCAACTGAAGCCATCCACTGGAACAGGTGCTAGAATGAGAAATTTTATTTAGCAAGCTCACAGCTAATTTGCTGTGTTTACTATTTCTGGGGGGTGGGGGGTCTCACACAAACACAAGCCTGGAGAAAAAACTTCAAAGACCCTGCATAGGAATGCTATGCCCTAATAAATATGGTGCATTATTTCAAAGACAGCCCAGCAAACAACCCCATCAAAACAACAGAATGGGAATTTTAAGCTAACTAGCGGGAAGGTAACGGCACTCTATGCAGTCATGCCAGCCACATTACCTTGGAGGTGTCTATAAAGCTGGCTCTTTGGCTTAGAAATGGAGATGACCGCAAACCTCGAGAGTCGGACATGACTTTACTTAAAGGGGAGAACCTTTACCTAACTGATATAGGTTGGAAGGAAGCAGTTCCTGATGTAAATGAAAACAGGACAATAATGGTAAGCTCTTAGTATCTACAGGGGTTTGCTCCACAAATACTTAAATACTACTTATATACAGTAGCATAGTAAAATGATCTGCTTTTGAGAATTATTTTTTTAAAGTATTTTCAAACCATGGATGGTTGAATCCATGGATGTGGAAGGCCAACATTTGTCTCAGGGATGAAGAACTTATGGTTCTCCAAGTGTAGATAAAATACTTGGGCCAGACGAGGCGGTTAACAATATCTACCTTTCTTGTTCCTAATGTACTCAGTAGTCTAGTATCATAGAACTGAAAGAAATCATAAAAGCCATCTAGTGTGACAGCAAGGTTCATGACATCTCAGAATGCTTTATTCATATCATTTTATTGAATGATCACATAAAACATTCCCACAACACACACACATACAATGTTAAAATTATCCCCTTTCTGCTGTCAGGAAATTGCTGCAGCATAAAAAGGTCATTGGAAAATTGTGTGCCCCCCCCCCCCCCAGTTTTATCTTCATAATCTTTCATCAAGACTCTGAATACCCGTGTTACCTGTTTTAGTCTTTGACTGGTTCTGTACCGTTGCTTGATACTGGGCATATGCAGCTAATTTAGCAACTAAAGGTTGTTTCTGAAGCACTTTAGCCTTCTTAGTTGGAGGTTTTCCCTAAAACAACAAGAGCTGAATAAGGTCCTTCTCAGACCCACAATGGAAGCTTTAGCAGCTTTGTTTCTGCTTCTCTACAGTGCAAGGCAATAAAATACTGTACAGTTTTACAAACAAAGCATTTTTTTTCAGAGAGCAATGCTTGAAAATACTCTAATATCACAGAAAATATTCCAGTAAAGTAAAATCGCAAAATATTACTGGAAAGCAGACAGATCTTTTAATGCACATATATAACTCTCTTTAATTGACCATACATTTCTTGTAAGGTACTCTATCCAGCTGCTGTTTTACTATTAACATTATCATCAAATAATCAGACTGAAATACAAAGAAGTCACAGTTGAGCAGTGTCATATACAGGAAGCATCATACATGAAAGTTATGGGGTGGTTTTCCTACATTACACAATTGATTTGTCCAATTTGATCACAAAACATGGCTGATATGATTTGGTCAAAAAATGACCTGGGCACATGATCTAGATAAGGAAGGTGCTTTCTGCCTTAACAATTTCTTATCAATATCATGTATACAATTAATTATGTGAAGAAACCAAATAGACAGACTTAGCTCCAACTTAAAATATAAAAATCCTTGTTTCCATTTCTCTCCCAGGTTTTAATATATAGCCCAACATTATAGTTGCTAAGAGCGAGTATTTTTATAATTCAAAACTGAACTTAGGCTAGGGAGACAGCACATTATTCACCCTGGTCTTTCAAGCTTAACAGATGAAAATGCATTAGTATTCTACGGCCAGAAGATATTTAGCGCTGTAGGTGGAACTAGTCCATGACAGCCAAATTCACACGGTACATATTAATTTCTTCAAAGATGGTATAGTAACCACACTGCAAAATTTCTCATACATCGTCACAAGCAAATTCCAGCATAAATATGCCCATTCTTCCACCTGCTTTTGATGAGGGCTCTGAAAGATACTTAACCCAACGTTCACATCTACTTGGCCATGAACTGGAGAAGGCCCTAGTGATCTCTCTTTTCCAGTGAAGTCTCACCCATATATTTTCTGCTTGTGGTTAAAGGTCTTTATGCATACTATAGTGATATCAATATAGTGTTCATCAAGAAGTCATATAAAGTGTATTAAAGTGTGAGAAGAGGGTACATTTAAAGAAACTGATTAATTTTAATTTTATAAAATTATGAATGGTGCAGAAAAAGAAGGAAACAATCATGTGCAACAATAGATCTCTGGATAAGCCAATGAAATCAACAGGTTACATGACACAAACAAATGTATTTCTTTCCACAGTACAGAACGTAAACATATGGAATGCTTGTTCTGCACCATGCATGTGAGGAATGGATATACTGGATCAGATAGATTCAGTATATCCTCCCGTTATGTGTAACCACTTTCTATAAACATTGATGAATGAAACATTCAGATAAAGTGCAAAATGAAGACAGACTCTAAAACAACAAAGGACTGCTGCCTTCATGCCCTCTTTGCAAATGCATTGAAGACACTGGATTGCCTGCAGTAAAAAAAAATATATTGATGGAGTAAACAGGATTTTGTTCCAATCCAGTAGAGCCCAAATCCTTATTTAAAATTGACTATTTATTTTACTTTATTTTCATCCCTCCTTTTCTTCATACAGGGACTCAAGGCAGCTAACACCAAACATGACACATTACAATCAAAACAGAACAAATCCATTAAAAATAATATAAAATATTAAAAAACATTCATTCTTTTGTCTCATGGAACATAAAAAGTTAACCTGCCTACAAAAGGTAACCCATTCTTATCTCCCTGGGAAGGGAGTTCTAGAATCTAACAGTGTGCTTTGATTCAAACTCTAATAAATACCATTAAAATTTTGTATATAAAATATATATAATATAATATAATAAAGATAATAAAACTGTGACTGTACCGTTACCTGAAGTCTGGCCAGAATGCTGGCCTTCTTAGAGTTCGATGAGTAACTTCTTGAGCAGGAAACACTGCAGAAACGCTTGGTTTTAGAGTAAAAGGCATCTCTGACACCGACCATTCCACACATTTCACAGGTAGCTAATAAGGAATGAAAAAAATAGCCCTGTGTTACATACAGTACATGATATAAAGGGCCAGATTCATTTCCATTATTCTACTCATTCTAGTTTTTCTCTCTCCTCTAATTCGAATAGGAACAAATGTGGTTAATATGTTTCATCACACCAAACATATTAGCTCACAAATGCAGGATATCTATATTATCTCCCAACAACTGCTATGTGGATGACAAATATGAATATAAACACCCCTTTCTGTACTTTCAACATTTTGATTATCTCTGAACTCCATGTCTGTATTATTCTACCTACAGCCCTCAGCCATTTCCACCTACAATCCTCGGGTTACGAAAAAAATAGGTTCTGTGGGCTTGTTCTTAAGATGAATTTGGATATTAAGTTAGAACAGGTACATTTCTTAAGTGCAACTCCAACCAAACAAGAAGTAAGAGCAAGATTTTTTTTATTTATTTGTTCGTTTTTAATAGCTTGGAAAGAGTAATTATCCCTGTAATGGTTGCTTTGCTGTCTGTGCCTCTGCTCAGGAGATTTAACCTCACTTTCTGTCCCTGTGGCAATTAGATTTTGAAAAATTTAGTTTGCTGTAGAAACAAGGGCTGGCGACAAAGCATCCCACGGTAACTCTTATAGAAGTGGGTTTCCTCACACTTCTCACTGTCTCACTACTGCCTGTAACTAGGAGTTGCATGTAAGTCATATGTTTGTAACATAGGGACTGCCTGTACATACATCTATCATCTGGGGAAAAAACTTCATGCATTTAATGAACTGCATACATGAAAGTTTATGCCACAGCAATTATGTCCTAAATCCTACTCGTAGTCCTATTCAGAGTAAACCTATTATTCAATGGATTTATTCTAGTTGAGATTACCAATAGAACATTTGTTAGCAATTAAGACTAACATTTCTTGTTTCTTGTAATATGTACATGACAAATACTAGTCCAAGAGGTGAAGGCACACTTTCACATTGTTCTAGTATGGATTTGTAGAATGCTATAGCTTGCAAACAACAGGCAATTACTATTCCTTGCAGCAAAGCAGCTTTGTCTTGTTCCTGCTGAAACAGCAGTCGACGTGATGGCAACCCCATAAACCCCCGCCAAAACACTCTGTCAACAACAGCCTCGCTCAGGTCCTGCAGATTTAGTTGTGAGCTTCCTGATTGACTCTAATACCAGTTTTTAAATAGATAAACTATTCTATCTATAAAATCGTAGTAACCTATGGATATGAGAGCTGGACCATAAGGAAGGCCAAGCGAAGGAAGATAGACACTTTTGAACTGTGGTGCTGGAGGAAAATTCTGAGAGTGTCTTGGACCATGAGAAGATGCAACCAGTTCATACTTCAGGAAATAAAGCCCGACTGCTCATTGGAGGGAAGGAGATTAGAGGCAAAGATGAAGTACTTTGGCCACATCATAAGAAGAAAGGAAAGCTTAGAGAAGACAATTATGCTGGGGAAAATCGAAGGAAAAAGAAAGAGGGGCTGACCAAGGGCAAGATGGATGGATGGTATCCTTGAAGAGATTGGCTTGATTCTGAAAGAGCTGGGGGTGGTGACGGCTGACAGGGAGCTCTGGCATGGGCTAGTCCATGAGGTCACGAAGAGTTGGAAGTGACTGAACGAATAAACAACAAAATCTATAAAATAATATTCAACAGTGGAAGAGATTTGTGAAACATTTCTATTTCCCCAAAACAGTCTCGCTTCAAGAGCTGTATTCAGAATGTATCATTTTGATTTGAGAAATAAAATAACCCCTTTCATCCCAGATCTAGTTTTTCCTATTTTAATCCTATTCTTTTTCCCCCTAGAATGGACCCAAGACCATTTTCATATCCATTTACAGACAAAGACAGGTGGGAAAAACCTGGATTTTGGCTAGAGGAGGTTCTCGAAGAAATGATGCACTGCCTACCTTATGAATAAAAGCAAGTGGAGACAAGTATATTTTTTACCAATATCTTAATTATCAAAGGTAACAGAACTACTCTAAAATTATGCTGATGCAAATACAAATGTTCATTATACGCACCCATGCCAGACTTGCCATCTGGATACGTGTAGACCTGTCCATTGTTTTTGATAATTGGGAGACTTGAGGGCAAAGGAGTTACTTCCTCTTCACTCTCGTCAGTACTGGAGCTACTACTGGTATCCTCACTACAGCTATCATAACCATCAAACATCCCGAATGAATCGCGTCTCTTCCTTTCTGGCCGTGAAGGATGTTCAGTCTAAAACGAAAAATGATATGAAATTTATAAATATAAAGACCTCAAAAGAGTTCAAGATTTTGACAATTTATACTTAGCATGTAATTGTATATTTAGAAAATTTACCATATAATTTAAATTACTGGAGAGGATTTTTTTACTGTTAAATACATGAAACAAAATAAAATGCCATTTACATGGTTTGTTAAGTCTGCATAAAGCTAGCCAAATTTAAATTTATGTATAGACTTATATGCAATATGAGGCAATAGAAAACAAAATTATATTAAACATATTTGATTAGGGATGTGTGAAACTGACAAACTCATTCTGGCCAAGGTTCACCAATTTCTGCCTCCCGAGCTCATTCTGATTTATATCTCTAACTAGATTGTGCTTTTTTTCATCTTGCACCAACATTTCAGTATACATTTTCCAAAAGCAACAGTTCTCTATTCACATTTTTCATTTATAGACCTTCTCCTACCCATGCAAGTGTGTTTGTGTTTCTCAAATGCCTACAATATTCCATACACATTTTTGAAACATATATATTATGATTTTTCTATAATATGCAAATTAAATAGCAAGTTATGTATATGTAATACAGGAAATTCAAAATAATAAAATAACAAAAATCTTAAACTCTTCTGGTCTCAAGCATTTCCAATATAGGATACTGTACTCATAAACTGCTATGATGTGTAGTATGATACAGCCACTAGTTATACAGCCTTGAAGACAAACATAACTATTTCTTGGCCATGGCATATTGAAATAATTTATGAAACAAAACCTTTCTTTTAAAATACATCTATAATGGGCAGATTAACCCAGTGAAAATTTGCCCTTAGAGCAGCCCCAGATTCAGATGGCTCAGGAATACATTTGTCTCCTTGGGGTGTCACCTGCTCCATGCCACCATCACCACCACTACTCCTAACTGATCATAGTGCTCTAGTGAAGCTCCTAGACACTGTGAGAGCCTTTGCTGGTGTCAGAATGGTGCATCAATGTGACCATCAAGAAAGAGAAGGGGTGATCTCTCCTTCTTGCTGGTTACAATGGAGCCCTGATTTGATATTAGCAAAGGAACCCACAAATAATCAGGTGCTTGGTTGGTGCTCTGTGGCTGGCAAGGAGTGACAGCAATGGTTATATGGGAATGATCAATTTCCTTTCCTTGTACGGAGTAATGGGCAATGCATTTAGTGGAACTGGACCTAATCTCACTGGCCAGACTGTTCCAAAGTCCCAGGACACTCTGCTCACCATGGATTGATGTCAATTTGAAAACCATATTCTACATGTCCCTGGAGAGTTTCATGGGGAGAAAGGAACAGTTTAAAATAATGTGTTCAAATGTGCTACAGGCAGCAAATACCTAGCACACGGGATGAAGGGACTGTGCCCCCCGCCCCACATCAGAAGCTGTATGGTTTCTAACTTCATTCCTTAGTAAGCTTCAGATTGCAAGCCACTTAGAATTTGTGTATATGAACAGAGGGCTTTTACATGTGACCCAGAATAAGCATTGTACATTTTGCCTTTCCGCTTGATGTTTTCTAGAGTTCTGAAATATCGAAGTTGTATGTTAAAGAAGGAAATTATTTAGTAGCTTTTCTATTTTTAAAGAACAACTATATTGTAAATCTATGCTTCTGCCACTACGAAGATGTGCATCATGGTATGCATCAATGAAGCAACAGCTATTCATGCTGTTTACAGCCTTTCAACTGAAATCCTAAGACAAACAGTAGCCACAGTTCCAAATATTATGCACTTAGGGCTGCATAGAAATGCATTCTTCTTGATCATAGACCTTTAGCTATGCAGTGCAACTAAGAAAATATCAGAGTTCTGTTTTTCACATTGTCAATCTTTCATTTAGGCAAGGCAGTAGCCTGCTGGGTTTTTTTTTAATTTTCCATTCATCTATTGCTAATACAGCACCAAACTGCATGCAAAGGCCTCCTGCGACTGTTCACTGAAAGAGAAGACTACCAAGCCATTTTAAAGAAAATCTTGCTTGCGGTTACCATTTTTGGACTAACAAAGATTTGCAAAATCACGGTATCAACATGTTCATTTTCTGGTGTACTTTTCATGAATAACAGGAGAATGAGTTACAAGTATGTGCCCACTAATGAATTACAGTCGTCTTTCCATCTTCTCAGGGGTTATGGATGCAGGTCCTTGGTGAGGGGGGCAACCGTTGTGGTCCCTGCAATAAGAGGAGAATAAGGAACATCCTCCATACCACTTTATTTTCTCTGTAGACCCCAATTCCTTTTCCTCTTCCTGCATGCTGTAAGTGCCTATTTCATTTCGGCAGAAGAAGCCAGATGCTAGGTAAAACAGAACCATGAGAGAAACAGAAAAGGGAAGAGGAGGAACCTACTCAGGGTGTTCCAGTTCCTGCTCCTTTTTTCTGTGTGTTTCTGTTCTCTCAGTCCCATCATTTTCCTTCCTTTGCCCAGGCAAAAGACATTTGCAGCACACAAGAAGAGGATTCATGAGGTAAGTTAAGTAGCATGTGGGGGCTGGCGCCTCCTCTTACCTGTATGCCACAAGTATCTGTTTCACAAGGGTAAAGGAAGGGAGACACTGAGTGGAATAGAAACATGTGGCAGTCCCCATTCTTCCACAACAACATTTACATAGTGGTCCCAGTTCCTCCTCTTTGTTCTGTGTGCTGCGTGTTTCTATTCTCCCAGAAACCTCCCTCCCCTTGTCCAGGTAAAGTAGATATTTGCAGCCCAAAAGATGAGGAAAATAAGCTTCATCTGCAAGTGGAGCATAGACCCAGCTCCTCCTCTTACCTGCATGCTATAAGTGTCTGTTTCACCTGGGAGCAGAAAAGGAGAAAATCACTTATCCTGCGGATATGGATTCTCTTCCTTTTTCTATTTGCCATGTGTTTCTGCTCCCATCCATCTCTTTTCCTTTGCACATGCAAAACAGACATTTGTGGCACACAGGAAGATGTGCCGGATCCACAGATAACTGGTGGTCCATAAGGGTGGCCCCTTGTTTTCCTGTGTGCTGCGAATGTCTGGTTTTGTCCTGGGAAATGAAGGGAGACACTGAGTGAAAAAAGGAACATGCAGCATGTTTGCCTTCCTAACAGCAATCCCCGCTCTGCTCAGCTCCTGAAGATGGGGTGGCCAGGCTATGTGAATGTTCGCACAGCAGGTCTGACTTCGGCAATGGTGACACAGCTTGCGAATAATCAAAACTGTGATATGAAAGGTGGGAAACTGGGAGGACAACTGTACAGCAAAAAGTCATAGCAAGCTAATGTTATACACATTGTTTCAGATAATAAAGGTTATGTTGAGTAAACTGGAAATGCTACTGAAAAGAAAGCTGAAGAAAGCTCATCATCCAATGTCACACTTTTCCAAAAATATTTTAAAACTTACATAGTGAAAGTACATTTAAATATATCACCTGGTTTTATGTATAACAAAAACCCTCTACATTTTTGAAGTTTAGGACTTACTAGAGAAACTACATTTAAGAAAACATAGCCATACACTAAATTCAGAACACGGGACTATTACTAGCAAGCATGGTGTACAAAAATCAGTGGTCAGTGTTATTTTAGATTCCTGTTACCATTCAAAACATATGGCTTGTTGCCAGCATACCATGTATCTTAATTTATCAGTTTTCCCTTCAGTGCCTTTTTTCTATATTAGTTTTAAAGGGCTGTGGAAGGAGAAAACTCTTCAGGATTTCTCAAAATAATATTTAGACATACATGAAACAGGCTTGTTTGTAGCAGTCGCCTTATGTTCCAGGAGGCTGGCTCTGTATACAACATCATTCCTTGAAGATGCTTCTAAACAGGCCCAAATGTTAGAAGAGGTGTAACAGGTAGAAAAGGCAAACACAATAAGACTACAGTAACGTGTTCTTAGTTAGTTAGGTTTTCCTTCTGCCTTCTGAAAAGTCAATCTGCATAAACCACTTACAAGACTTTCTTCTAGAACCTCTAAACACTACTGTCTTCCCTTGAACAAACTGCTGATTGAACACACTGAACTTAGGATACCAAAACCTGAAACGCTCCGATACTGTCCACCTTGCTGGCTGACGGTTCAACTTTGTTTCAGGCAGAAAATTTAAAATGTTGTATACATTTACTTTCAAACAAGGCATATAAGATGTCTACGAAGCAAGGTGTGCAAGGTGCACATGAGACATAACTGGACTTTGTGTTTAGACCTGGACCCTATCTCCATGGTACCTCACTGCGTGTGCAGGTATTCCAAAATCCCAGTCTCCAAAATCCAAAACAACACTTTTTGAGAAGTGATGCTCTCAGCCTGTATCCAGAAGAGGAAAAAGATGGGGAAGTAGCAGTAGCAGGTGTGTATTGGCCCCACTAACTCGGCCCTTCTTTGCACAATTTCTTAAAATCTATGAATGATCAAGGTAATATGCACGAAGCCTACATGGACTTCATAAGATTCGCATGCTGCTTTCTTTCTAACACAGTAGCTCTCAACCTGTGGATCCCCAGGTGTTTTGGCCTACAACTCCCAGAAATTGCAGCCAGTTTCTCAGTTGTTAGGATTTCTGGGAGCTGAAGTCCTAAACATCTTAACTTTAATGTATTGTCGAAGGCTTTCATGGCTGGAATCACTCAGTTCTTGTGGGTTTTTTCGGGCTATATGGCCATGTTCTAGAGGCATTTCTCCTGACGTTTCGCCTGCATCTATGGCAGGCATCCTCAGAGGTGAGGTCCTCTGAGGATGCTTGCCATAGATGCAGGCGAAACATCAGGAGAAATGCCTCTAGAACATGGCCATATAGCCCGAAAAAACCCACAAGAACTGAATCTTAACTTTACTTTATTTCTTAATTAGTCGCTCTCCGCCAAGGTGCTCTGAGCGACTTACAATCTAAAGTAGCATTTACACAATATAAAAACATTCAACAGTGACTATTTAGTGAATATTTGGCAAATTAGATCTGATTACTTAAATGCACAACCAAACAGCCAAGTCTTGAGTGCCTTTACAAAAGGTCGCAACTCCGACATTGCTCTAATGTATGGAGGCAATGAGTTCCACAGAATTGGAGCATAGGTCGAAAAAGCTCTATGCCTTGTAGCTTCCAGGTCTAACAGGACAACGAAAAAGCAGCGGTCCTGGGCAAAGAGATCCTTCCACCTTTTGTCTGTAAACTACGACATTTCCTCCATTCGGAGATGCCCTAAACACCTCTAGAATCACGGGTGCTTTTAAAATATAAACAAGCAAAACATTTTTCCCCGTTGATGGTACTGAACTGAGTTTGCGTCTTCCAATCGATGCCATCCTTCAGGCTGAGAAAGGCGGTATATAATTATGGTAAATAAATAAATTATCCTAGAATCGAAGAAATACGTTACTAGGGGAAGGCAAGAGCATGGGAGTACAGAGCAAGGAATAATCACCACCTTTTAAAAAAACCAAGCAGCAGCAGTAGTAATCCGGGAGTCACCTGCTTGCTCACAAAACTGTAGGATATGCATAGAGCATGACAGGAGGCTGAAGGAGGGAAACTGGGCCAGGAAGGGACACCCGTTGCCCCTGAGGAGACTGTGGGGACCTTTTCTGCCGACTTCACCACAGAGGAGGAGAACTTTTGAGAGGCCCGACGCTTTCCACAGGTTGAGGTCTGACCCGCTTGGAGGCACAGGCATCCCAAGGAGGAGGAGGAGGAGGAAGTGGCTGGGGTGAGGGGCTCTGCGGCCCCAAGCAGCTGCCCCTCCGCTTCCTCCTCAGCTCTTATTGGCACGCTTTCTCCCGCCCACGGAGCCCCCTCAGGATCCACTCACCAGGTCCTTTGTGTTTTCCATCAGGCCCTCATGGGCAGCAGCAGCAGCGGCGGCGGCGGGCGCCTGCTCGCCTTCCCTCGCCCGCCTCCCGCCTCCCTCCCCCGGGACTCTGCCCGCCTCCCCTTCCTGAGGGGCCGGGCCAGGGCGGAGGGGGAAGAAAGTTGGGCCCCTCACGCCGTGAGAAGGGGGCCGCCACACGGGGAGAGCGAGAGGAAGAGAAAAGACATTCAACTCTCCAAGCCTCAGAATATCAACAACATTAGCATAACCGCACTGCGCACGCGCAGAACGGCCCCGAGCCACCGCGCGCCCCCATTGGCTCCCGGGCTGTTTGGATCGTCCTCGCTCTCAGGACTGAACCATGCGGCTGAAGAAGGGGGGGGGGCGCGCCAGCAGGAAGGGTCCGCATTTAAACAACCGCCGTGGTAGCCTCGAAACCTTGGGAAAGGTGGCGCCGGGCTTTTTGTTTTAGTTTATATTCAACGGGGCGGAGGCAGCTCTGAGGAGTTTTTCAATCCTCTGAGGGAAAGAGTGGGAGGTTAACATGGAGACTTCCCCATTCAACGAACAATGGAACAACCCGCTCAAAGAGCGTTTCTGGGGAAGGGAGGGGAAGAGGGATTATACACATTGAAAAATCGGGGTCATGTGAAAGAGGCGGGGATGGGAGCGTCACGTCAGAGCCCTCCCCAAGGGAGATGGAGGACAGGACTACGCAGAGTGGATACTTCCGGACTCCATTTGACCGCCGCCGCGTGGGGGCGTGGGAGAGGAAGCGAAGGGAGCCGGCAGTAGAAGTGCTCCTCAAATGGCTCTACCTCTTTGGCGCGCTGTACGCTTTCCTTAGCTCCGCGCGCCGCCAGCCGTCTCTATGGTAACCAGCGCAAGGAGGGCTTCCGGCGAGGCGAGGCCCCCTCCTTTTCTCCTTCCGGCTCGGTGGTGGTGGCAGCAGCATGGAGGCCGAGCCCGGCGCGGCGCTGCACGGAAAGGGGAGCCGGGCGAGGAAGAGGGGGCACCAGGCTGACCCGGAGCAGGATGGCCAGGAGGCCACAGCTGCGGTTGCTGAAAGACGCCGCCGGGACAAGCACTTGGCTCTGCTGGGCGAGAAGGCCGCGGCGGAGCGGGACCTCGAGGCGCTGGTCTTCGGCGACGTCGGCCAAGGAGAGGCCTTGTTGCAGCGCCTGCGCGCGCCCGCCGACTCGGTAAGGCCAGGCTAGGCAGGGAACGGCAGTCTTGACTATTCGCAGACTGTGGCAGTAAGCGATGTTTCTGTTCTGTGTATTTCATTTGGGTGGCATTGTGGGTGTTGTCTGCTGGTAAGAGAAACAGTCGTGCCCTATGTTGGCTGGGTTGGAAATCAGCCCTAGGATTCAGTATTGTAGAGGCTATAAAAAGTAAAGGTTTCCCCTTGACATTAAGTCCAGTTGTGTCCGACTCTGGGGGGTGGTGTTCATCTCCACTTCGAAGCCGAAGATCTTCGACACCTCCAAGGTCATGTGGCCAGCATGACTGCATGGAGCACCGTTACCTTTCCACAGAAGCAGTACCTATTAATCTATTCACATTTTCAGGTTTTCGAACTTCTAGGTTGGCAGAAGCAGGGGCTAACAGTGGGAACTCACCCAGCTACCCATATTCAAACCACTGATTTTTTTTGGTCAGCAAGGTCAGCAGCTCAGCGGTTTAGCCTGCTGCGCAACCAGGAGTTCCTTCTGTAGATGCTATACCTGCCTTTTTTAAAATCTTAGAATCTGGAAGTAATAAAAAAAAAGTCTAGAATAGAGACAGCAATTTGTGGTCCTCCAGATACTATTGAGCTGGCCAGCATACAAATTTGTATACCTCGGCCTCATGTAAACCACACCGAGTCCCTTGGGGAGATGATAGCGGGGTACAAATAAAGTGTTGTTATTATTACTGTTATTATTATTACTGCCCTTTGGAGTTAAAAAGGATGGTAAACAAGTACTGTAAATAAGCAAATGATAGCAATTGCAGGCACACACAACCTACTGGGCAACATGTTTCCCATTCTTCGAGAAAATTATTGAAACTTTTCAGCCCTGATCTATAAATTTAAAAGTGGTATTATCTTTTTCTTTTCAGGTTACTGATGTAATCAGTGGGAACTTTCTGGACAGTGAGTCTGAGGATTCAGAACTGGAAAATGAAACAGAGGAAAATTTTCTCTCATCAAAAAAGCCAGCATGGATAGACGAGGATGATGAAACTGAGGAAATGTAAGCAATCATCATAGTAAATTGACTTGTAGGCTGGATTTGTAAGCAGTCGAATTATATCAAACTTTTGTCTCAGTTTGCATGTTTGGGATGAGAAGGTAAAGAGGGATAGGCTGGAAAGACTCCACAAGTGAATTACTGGTTTTTAAAATGTCCTAAAAATATAATTGTAGTTAAGTGTGGAATTTGACTGTTCAAGTAAACTTTATAGCTGAGTGGTGACTTGAGCCTGTAGTTCCCCTTAGTTTCATTCTAAGCTAAGCATACACTTTTGTTCTAGAATTGACATGACCCATCGATACCGGAAAAACATGATGAAGAGTAATGCAGAAAGTAAACTTAGCAAAGAAAAACTTCAAAGACGACTTCAAGAACAGTAAGTTTTAGTAGCTTGTAAAAAACAACATGTAATCTTGCACAACCTACATTAAAAATGTTATAATATTAAATACCTTGTCATATTCAAAAACTGTATATAACTCAACCAGGTTTGAAGTGGTTTTCTCGTATATGTTCTCAAATACTTTTCAAATGAGTTTGCGTTTTGAAGACTTCAATGTTTAACCATGTACTAATAAGATGCAGAAATGACACATACTTATTGGTACGTGCTAGTACAAATTAGTACCTTAATCAAGAGAATGCAATTTATGAAAAATGGAGAAATGAGCTTCTGCAAGAAGCAGAATTTGAATTAAGCCAAACAAAAAGATGAAATGCATGTAGCTGTGTACATGTACTTTGAGATCATTTCCACATATTGTTTGGCACTAAAACATTTGGAGGATGGTCTCTTTGTTCCAAAACCTTTCATCTAAGTGACCTTCTCTGTTCTTGCATCACAGATTGGTTGCATATGTTATTGCAAAGAGAGATCAATGTTGGGGAACAGAATGAGCACACCCAGCTCTATCCCATTCACCTCATGCTCTGTTATGTATTTTCCTCTTTATCAGCTGTTCTTTCTTTTCTTTTTTTGCACCCTTCGACTGTAGCAATCGTGCTATTCATAACATTTCTGATGTGTTTGGAGTTCCATATCCATTCAAGGCTAAAGCAGTTTTTAAAGTTAGAATTGCTGGCAACATAAAATTCTTCTTCCTCAGATTTCAGGGTGCTATGGGAACAACTCCTTCTTGGGCACAGAGGGGCATGAAAAAGACGTTAAAGAAAAAACATGAAGGTAAGGTGGGACTTTAATGCAACTTATAGCAGTTAAAGCAATTAATGTGCAGTAAATCTGTTCTGTCACCACTGGGTCCAAACAAAATGTCTTTATTCTATAGAACGCACACTTTAAACCCAGTGGGAAGCCGGGGTGCCCGAAGAGAGATTGTTAGAGACTTCCAAAAGTAATGGGCTTTAGAGTCTTTAAAAGTACAACAAAGTCTTTATTAAGGAACAAATCTTCAAACAAAACTTCACGGCTTTACTATTCAAGTCTTTAAGAGACTGGCACTAACTTGGTTTGACTGTACTATCTCATAAGGAAGAACTCTTTATAATCCCTCCCAGGCCGTCCATCACCTAGGCCTCGCTGGTCTGGGTAATACTGCCGATCCCCAAATGCGTCTGGAAACCGAGTAACCTACCAGACGAAGCTAGAAGATGTTTAGCTGGAATTCTGTGGTTCTGCAGTGATGTCCTGTGGAAACTTCAGGGCTGTTTTCCCCTCTGGTGCTGTGAGGCTGAGAGGCTGTGAGCTCTCAGCCAGAGCCTTTGGGACCTTTTCCTTCTGTTTCCCTGGAACTGGATGGTCACTGGATGACCCCTGGATGGTCGCTGGATGGACCCAGGATCACCTTTGGATGATCCCCGGATGGCTATTTCTATTTCCCCGGAAGGTTTTGAGGAATGAAGCCTTTCCTACGGGACTAGCTGATCTGCGTCCTATAGACTGGCTTCCTTGTGTGACTGAAAATAGGCCCCTTCCCTCCAAAAGGCAAAAAGGGGGCGGGACCAGGGATCCTAACTATAACTGGCAGGTGGCTTACCCTATAAATGCAAATTATAACAGGAAACCCCCTGCTGCAAAATCCCAAGCATGGGTTTGCACACAAACATATAAACACAGCAAATAAATCTGGAGCTCCTGGAACAGCTGTTCCAGAACAAAATCCTTTGTTCACCTACCAACATTCCAGTGAAACATGAAGAATCCTGTGACAAGTATGATAATTGTGTGGCTGTGGTTATACTGCATCTGCCAAAAGGGATAATTAATGTAGCCAATGGTATGAGGAATGCTGGGAGTTTTAATCAACATCTTGGGTGCCATAAAATTACCTCCACTGCTATAAGTGTAGGGGGTATGTAGCACATGAAACTGTATATTCAATAAAATTCTAAAGTTTTTAGGTTCTTTATTAATCTGTGGAATCTGTCCGGCTGTGGAACGCCCTCCCTGTTGACATCAGACAGGCGCCCTCCCTCATGGCTTTTCGTAGGAGCCTAAAGACCTGGCTATTCGAGAAGGCATTTAATTGAGAGCCACATGAATCTGGCAATGACACTTGGAACGGACTACGGACTATGAGATTGGCTATTGGTTCTATATGTGATGGCGCGGATTTTTAGTGTGATTAGATTAATGTGCAATTTTTGATTGTTGATATACTGTATGTTTTGTAGACTTTTTTTTTTTTTTTACATGTTGTACACCGCCGCGAGTCGCCCCAGGGCTGAGAGCGGCGGTCAACAAATGAAGTAAATAAATAAATAAATAAATAAATAAATAAATCTGGCTGCATGTTAGTATTTCTAAGCTCAGGTAAAATTGAAAGTGGAATTTTTGAAATAATTTATTCCGTTTAAGATGACAGTGAAGATGAAGACGATGATGATTTGTTATGCAAGACAGGCAATTTTGTGGCAATGTCGGACTCTTTACCAAAAGGCATTTTACAGGTAAAAAATCCAAATTTTCATGCACATAATGTGCTTTATTTATAACCTTTGGCAACTTCTCTACTTTGAGATATTCTTGATATGGTAAATGTACAAAAAGGATTCATAATAAAGTAATTCATGACAACTAGCCTGTAGTTATAGTTTTGTTTTATGTTGTTGTGTTAATCATTGACATCAATGGAAATTTTTCATGCAGATAACAGCCTTTATCTCAGGAGTTCTCCTATTTCTTCTCAGTTACTTTTCCATCTGTGTTATGTTTTCTACACTGTGAGTCTGAGCAGATCCTGTTTTAATTAGTTGTCTTCGTGAGCCCTCTGAAGAATGGTATTAAATGTTATTTAAATAATCCCTCCATTCTGTGCTTGAATAATCTTAATTTTGAACTCTTGAGACCCAAACCTGTGCATATTTATTAATGTAAGTTAGTATATTGCAAAACTAGAAATGTTGAAACTGATTTTAAACATTATTTTACCAGTTAGCTGAATTGTGCACAAGTTTGTAGGAATATTCCTCAGTAATGCAGACTTTGTTCTTAGATTTCATATCTCTATACATCCTTTTTCTCAGAGATGATACAGTTCTGAAATAACTATTCACGCCCATCTTCCCTTTTAGATGAAAAACTGCTTACCTGCTAATAATGAACGCCTGTCTGATGCAAATCTGACAACTGTGCAGTTCCATCCTTCTGCTCAGGTTGTGATGACAGCTGGCCTTGATCGGTCTGTGTCCTTGTTCCAGGTGAGGAATGATTTAAGATTGCAACCATTGAATTGGGGGAGTTGCTGCATATTTGTGTGCTTTGGAATAGTTGTTTTTTTGTTTTTTTTCAAACCAGGTATTTAAATCCTGGATAAACTGTGTTACATATGCATTTATTACAATTTGGAAATATTCATTTATAGAGGTGAAAAATATATAATTTTTTTCTCAATCTAGGTGGATGCTGTCACTAATCCAAAGATACAGAGTATACATTTGGAAAACTTTCCAATCTACAAGGCATGTTTCAGTGCTGATGGAGAGCAAGTTATAGCAACCAGTACCCGCAATAAGCTTTTCTATATATATGACATGATGGGAGGAAAAATTATTCCTGTAAACCATGTCAGAGGTGAGGTTTTAATTTTTGTCACATTTCTATCCTAGTTACATTTTAAGCAGATTAGAATACTAATTGTAAGACTCAATGATATCATTTACTTTTCCTGAACTAAATAGAAAGCTTGGTAAGATGTCCACTTTTCATTGGCTGATTAACTAGTTCATTTTTGTGTACCTAAACAGGTTGAGGGAAGGGTGAAAGCTGCCTCTAGTAAATAACAAGTGGTGTGGGAGACAAGGAATTGGGGAGGGGGTGGTGGTATGAAAGCAATATGCCCTTTTTTGTGATGCTTAGAATTATATTTGCCCGTTGAAGACCTGTGAATGTCATAAAAGTAGGATTGTTTCTCTGATTTCAATTCAAGGTTTAGAGGAAAAGACTGTCAAAAAATTTGAAGTATCTCCAGATGGGAAATTCTTACTTGTTAGTGGGACATCAGGCTATCTGCATTTGATAACAATGAAGGTAAAACCTCTGCTTAAATGCCCAGAAAAGAAATGTTATTTCAGATTGAATTAAGAATTTCTTTGATTTCTTGTCATTGTTAAATTTTTGGTTTCTTCTGTTTGAATTTTGTATTGTATAATGAATCTTAATCTTCAGATTGTTTATTTTTAAAAGTTTCAGTATACTAGAAACAGTAAAAGGGGAAAAAACCAGAAGAAATCAGTAGAATGTAATCATCAGAACAGAGTATGCTGGAGGTCACAGTGATGTGTTTTATAACTGCTCCTAAAGATGTATATGTATATTCAAAATTCAATATGTTTATTTTTGCACATCTGGGCAATTTCCTATCCCTAGAGACTATAAAAGGGCATACTTTTTAAAATGTCATCAGGCACTGTAACTTAATCTTAAGAATACTGTATATGCTAATATATAAGTTGACCTCATGTATAAGTCAAGGTCAAGTTTTGGGACCAAAATTAAGGATTCTGATATTATTTGTGGGTAGGTTGAGGATTATTCTGTGAAGAAGAGAAAGTATCAATGCCACCTCAAGAGGTTAGCCGCCATTGGCTGCCACTGCCATCATTGCCACTTCCCCACGTGTGCATTCAAAAAGGCCAGAAGTGGCACCATTTTGGAGAAAGTAGAAGGATCAGTGCTTCTTTTAGGGTTTCCTAGGATGAACTAAGCTCTTGCCTTTTGTCACGCTACTCAGAGAAAGAGATGGTTCCTTTTTATAATAATAATAGCTAAGGTATATTAGTCACATTGGCCTAAAGATAAGTCAACCCAGGGTTTTTTTTTGTTGGTTAATTCTTTTGACTAAAATTTCTAGACTTATCTAGGAGTATATACAGTAATAATTCGTTTGAAATTCTGTGTCTGTTTTAGACAAAGGAGTTTGTTGGAAGCATGAAAATTAATGGAAAGGCAGCTGCATCAACCTTCTCGCCTGATGGGAGCAAAATCTACACCCATTCTGGTATGGTTTTCAGACTTGATGGTGTGAAGAACACCAGTATGAGGATTACTATTATTATTAATCAGAACAATATTATTAAGATGCTCATTGTTCAATAAGGGAATGCCTTAATTTATCTGCACTGATTTTCTTTCATTTAAATAACACATAGTAGCTGAGCTTGGAAGATAGCTTTTTAAAAGTATTGTGTAAATTCCTACATAAATCCAAATTATCAATACTTGCACTCCTGATGTAATTTAATTATTACTTTCTCTGTTTTTATTCTTTCTTTGAAATGATCTTAAAAGATTAAAAGCAGCCTAAAAAGGATATCCTCTAAACATATTCCCCCAAAACATTTGTAGTCTTTCAAAAATTGCATAAATGTCATTGGTAAATATCATTAGTTGTAAAAAAGGTAATGTTACAGTGTAACTAAATTACTGTGCAAAATCATGTCTTTATTCCTGTGCTAGCAGGTATTGTTGTTACTTACAACATGTTGCATCAAAGCATAGAATAGCAGTATGCATTAAAAAGTAAAATAGCATGGCAAAATTTACAACCCAGGGGATGCCCAGATGTTTTACCATCCTGTGGGAGGTTTCTCTCATATCCCCGCATGAGAAGCTGGAGTTGACAGATAAGAACTCACCCGCTCCCCGGATTCGAACCACCGACTTTTCAGTCAGCAGTCCTGCTGGCACAAGGATTTGCGCCACTGAGAGTTCTTTTGAGATAAATGAAGAAATTTCTGAACAGTAAAAATAGTTAAGATACAAAAACTGAGGGTAGTGCAGTGGATTTAAGATTTTGATATGTTAGCAGCAGATACATATATTGCTTTGTCTGACTTTATTCTTATGTGTCTTGTTTGTCAGCTGAGGGGGAAGTCTTCATATGGGATGTGAAAAGTAGGCGATGCCTGAACAGGTTTACTGATGAAGGTTGCCTTCGTGGTACATCTATCACACTCTCCAAAAACAACCAATATGTGGCTTGTGGGTAAGTGAAAGCAAAGTTAGTTTGCTTAGGACAACTGCCTATCCAGTCTTCACATTATCTGGCAACAAATTAAAGTGTCAGTAAAAATCCTGGAAGCCTCTAAGTAGCAACTGTTCCCACAGCCATCCTGCTTTCCCTAGGTATGGGTGGCCCCAGGGACACAATTGCACTTACAATCCCAGGGACACGGTTGCACTTACTTAGCCCTCAGCTTAGTTGCAACCATAAAACTGTCGGTGATCATCGCTCATTGGATCCACTGGCACTGGCCAGATGAACAGTATGATTGGGAAAGGGAGGAAGGAAAGGAAGGAGTGATTCCTCCTTTCCCTCTCAGTGGATGCAGTCAGTGATGACCATTGGTACTTTGACACCTGGTGGTTGCCACTAAGCCAAGAATGAGAAGGGGAGGCTAGGGGTGGCATTACAGTGGTTTGGAACCTGTGCAGACTCCACTCAACTTCCTGGGCCAGTTCAGTTTCACTCAGTGCGAACATGTGCCACCTGCTAAACCAGCTCAGCCGCTGGCTGTGCGGACTCCTGTGATACCAATCCAGAGTACCCCACTCCAAATCAAGGCCTGTGTACATGGGCCTCAAGAGAGTTGCTTACAAAGTGCATATCAGTGGACAGAATACAATCTAGAAAGAAAATCTTGTATGTCTACCTCTAACATGAAGGCTTAATTTGAACCAAGTTTCATTCTTACAACCGGTCTACAAAGAAGAGACTGCAACTGGAACATTTCAAATAAATATAATCCTTCCTCACTCCAGAGCAAGATCATTATCCTGTTAGCTCACATGTTGTAATTGTGGTTGCTTTTTTTAAAGAAAGGTTCTGAGACTGAGTTCATACATATTAACTATTAATTCTCCTGGTAGATGGTGAACGGATTACTATGAGGGATACATACCATGCTATGACACAGATGAAAAATGGAACCTAGGCATATCAAATCTATGCCATTTAGTAAAGGAGTGAACTACACTAAATTTCCTGATATTTCTGAGTATATATAACCTGCTAGCTGTCCCTGGCCATGCTTTGTGTGGCCCAGTCTGGTGAAACAGAAAAGAGAAAGAGCAGAATTCTAATATAGTTAATTTCACAATGCTTGTTGGTTTACAATATTTGTTGTTCCTCCACTGACTGTGTGGTTATAGAGATTGTCTGGTTTGCCAACTCTAGAACATGCAACTTATAATTGTCCATGTGAGAAGCCATCCGTGTCTAGATCTGAACTGCACAGTTGTAAAGATTGTCCCTGAGCTTTGTTGATGGTGATAGCAAAGGCCAATCTAATTGGGAATTACAATCTCTTAAATTGAAATGGCATATCCGTTGGAATCGTAGGAATGTGAGGAACAAGGACATCTTCAACTCAGAATATCAAGGCAGATCATCCACAATGTCTGCTTTGAACTGGGTTATCTGAGTCCAGACTGCTATGTAACCCAGTTCAATGTGGATCATATACAGCTGTGTGGAAGGGGCCTAAAGAAATCCACAGGACAACCAAAGGAGCCCCAATGAAGTAAATAATAAACATACAGCGGCATTCCTGAGGGCAGGGGTGGCATTGGAGGAGGGAGGGAGGCCTGCTCCCCTCAGATGAGACAATGACTGACAGGAGGTGGCACTGTTTTTGAAAAAAAAACATTTTTACCTGTCACACATGTGAAATAAATATAATAATAGGTATGTGGAAACATAAAAACCCGCACCTATTCAAATGCTACACTGTGTGAAAATTTCAAAGCAATTGGTAAAGAATTTTGGGAGATGTTCGCTTTTGAACTAACGAACATTTACATTTTTATTTATATAGATCACAAATCTGAACATACTTGTCAAGAGGCCTATTTTTTCGAATGTATAATTTCAGTTCCCCATCTATTCTTTGGCAGTTGCACAGAACAATTTTCTTGGAGGAAATATGTAGACTGTTTCCTAAGGGACATCATTTTGAATCATTTTGTTCAGAATTTAGATGATTACAATGTTTATGAAATTCTTATATTTCTATACATATACACAAAGATTGCTTGATAGAAAATAATCTTCGCTGCTTTTGGATATGCATACTATTTATTAATATCTGCCTATTTTTTATTATCTCTAAAACTTAACTATTTCTTCTAGTTCCAGTTCTGGAGTTGTGAATGTGTATTCCCATGATGACTGCCTCAGGGAAACCAGCCCTAAGCCTCTTAAAGCTATAATGAATTTGGTCTCACCTGCTACTTCAGTAGTATTCAATCCCACAACTGAGATCCTAGCAATAGCTTCAAATAAAGTTGATGAAGCTGTAAAACTGGTAAGAAAAATAACTTTCATACTGTGTGTTATGGTTCACTGACTACATTTTAATTAATTGAAAACATCTGCCAGAAAACATATTATTGGGTAAACTGACTTTTTTCAGGTAACAGTTTTAAGGGTTGTATCTGTCATGGATTATCATTGCAGGAAGAACAAATGGTCTTAAAAGTTAGCCCTAACCTCCCACCACCCACCCCAAAAAAGAATGTCATGTTATTCCTTCTCTGTCAAAATAGCTGCATCACGTTTACTCTATAAGTCTAGAAAATTTAATTTAAAAATCAATTCCCAAAACCTGGGTTGATTTATCTATAGGTGAATGTGAGTACTGTGCCTTAACTATGTCCTCTTGTTAACAGGCCCATATTCCTTCCCTTACTGTATTCTCAAATTTCCCAGTATTCAGAAGAAAACAAATATATTTGGTTAATTCCATGGATTTTTCACCAAGAAGTGGATATTTTTGCATAGCAAATAACAAAGGCAAAGCTTTGTTGTATAGGTATGTAAATTACACAAATTGAATTAGAACTGTATTCTTAATGCATTCTGTTCAACATCAGATATACGACTGATTCCACCTTTGTTACTAAATTGTACTAAAATGTCATTTTACCATGTGTGAGCAGGATAGGGAAATAAATATAGCTTCAAACTTCAGATACATTTCAGCCCGCATGAAGCTCTTTTGATGTTGTATGATTTTAATGGGAACTTCATATTTATATGAATGGTACTTACCAAGTGATCATAAGTAGAGCTAGCCGTGCTCAAGCCCTATGAAGTTAAGGTGCATAAGAACATCTTAAGATTTCAGCTTGAAACTCACTTAGCTGGATGGATTTACCCCAGGGGTGCAGTTTTCTTTAAATGCTTATATTTTTGTGTGCTATCTGGAAGATTATTTTCTTTTTTAACCTTTAAAGACAGAATAGTCATTCCTAGTGAATATGTCATAAAACAGATAGCAATTACTGTGATCTATATTTAAAAGAGCAACCTGGATAGCATAGTTCAATATGAATAGTGCCATAGACTCTTGAATACAGTATTAACTCCCATTTTAACTTTTCAGATTGAAGCACTATTCCAGTTTCTGAATGATCTACTTTAGAATGAGGTAATTATCCACTGAAGTAGATGTATTTCTCCTTTGTAAAGAGAGAAAAACGAAGTCTAAATAATAATTCTTTCAGTTTGCTGAAAGTTGGTATACACACAACTGTGCCGATATTTTGATCATTGGGCAAATGGACTGATTTAATTATTAGTATGCCTCCTTGTCCTTATCAGAACTTGGAAAACTGTATTTAAAAGTAATCTGTAGCTGTTAATTTCATACACCTGTTTGTGTCTAAGTAGCTTTAGAATACTTAATTGTTTTGCTCATTAGTTTTAAAATAGTAACTTGTTTCTACTACTAATTAGTTCTTCTCAATGTTAAAAATAATGACAATAAGGAAATGAGATAAAATGTGAAGAAAATGCCCTTAAATAACTAGAAAAATATATAAAAATAATTGTCATCACCTGTCCCCATTTGAGCATTTTTGCCCCTTGTTAATTTGCTTTATTGGTATCACTGTCCCATCGTAGTTACTCTGACGGAAGCCTCTGGGCTCCATTCTAATGTAGATTAACTTAAGCATACATGTTATTTGAAAGCACCCTTGGTTAAACAAAAGTTTATCTAAGATTCAGGCTTCAGTTCTGTGCCCAGCTTCTTGTGGAGAGCCATACTAAACTCAGTAGAACTAGTAAGTATGCATATATAGAATTTCCCTTCCCAGTGAAGCTTACATGTGTAATTCATTCTGAGTGGCTCAGTATAACTTTTTGTAGACAAGGTGTTCTGTCGCCTCTGGAGCTGAAATTAAATGCTTCTAAGAGAGGATGCAAGGCTTGCGTCCAGCGGGAAGCCCGGGCCCCGAGAAAGAACCTTTAGAGGAATTTTCCCTATTAAACAGGCTTTAGGAGACTTAAGCTTAAATACAACAGTCTTTATTAATGAACAAGCAGGAATTGTAAGATTTCTAAATAGTCTATTGGCTCTTGCAGTCTTGTTTACAGGAAACAGGCACTATCTTCAAGAAACTTTAACAGAAAAATTCCCCTTTAAAGCTCCTCCCAGGCTGCTGTGAACTTAAACCTAACTGGTTTGAGTCTGCTACCGGCTGAACTGCGTCTCAGAACCGAACAGACGTACCATCAGGCTTGAAATCACTTAGCTGAAGATGAAGAGCTGTTATTCCCTCCGGAGGTCCTCAGGGCTGTGAAGCTGTTCCCTGGAACCCTTTGGGAATCCGTAGAGGCCTTTAATCTGTTCTTCCCCAGGAACTCTTAAAAGACGAAGCCTTTGCACAGGAGGAACGTCTGTACGCATCCTCTGCCTTGGCTTCCCTTGTTGTGACTAACTGAAAAATGGCCCCTTCCCTCCAAAAGGCAAAAAGGGGGCGGGACCAGGGATCCTAACTATAATTGGCAGGTGGCTTGCCCTATGAATGCAGCCAAAGGAAGCCACCTATCTGCAAAGTCCCTGCAACTTAGGACTATAAACAAATACCCAGTGCAAAACACAAATTTGGAGCCCCTGGAACACCCATTCCAGAACACAAGGTGTAAATATGAATCCAATGGGCATTGTTTCAAACAGCATTCAGTCCTGTACTATTACACTTTGTATTTTAACTCTGTTGATCATAAAGCTAAGCAACAAAAAATATGATGCCGTATTTTATAAAGCAAAACCCAACCAGTTTTTAAGCAAAAGTTTTACACTCATTTCCTATGTTTAATCTCTGTTTTGTGTATTTTAATATGTATTTTTATAAATACATTTTAATATGTGTATTTGTGGTATTTTTACAATGTTTATGTGTTTTAATTATTCTGTAACCCTCCTCGAGCAATGGGGAGAGGGAGTAAGAAATACAATAATTGTGATTACTTTTATTATTATGAATATTAATATTGATTCCTTTATTGTACTTTTCTCTTTGCAGATGTTATAATCTCCAGTTTTAAGAATGCAGATTGACGTTTGTTCATTTCTTTGTTATTTTTTTTCTATGTATGTACTTCAGTATAAATACATAGTTTTTTAAATAACTTCCACAGACTGGTCTCCAGTATTTTCCAGTACTTACTTACTTAGGCGATCCCTCGTAGTCCGAGGATGATGGTCCTCCAAGTTCGGTGTTCTGGTGGTGGGTCCGTAGTTGACTGTGGAGCCCTATTCCAGTACATTCCATTTAAATGACTACTTTTCCTAGAAGCTGACCACATGTGCAAGGAAATCTCACACAACTCCATATAAAATTTGGAAGATCTGCACTAAAACTTTAGGAAAAGATGGACCTCTAAAGGCAGATGGGAGAAAGAAAATAGCTTATTATGGAGATCAGTTCTAGTCCAGACCTGTTTTGTCAGTTAAATGAGTTCTTTATACTGATAATTCTTTCAATCTGTGGTAATACTTTAAATTGAGTGTTCATTAAAATTTACATGAGTAAATTTTCAAGCTAACTTCAAATACTCAATAGCAGGAGTGTTATACTGGTATATCGTCATAAGGAAATGATTTGCTTGATTTTTTTTCCTTAATGGTTCTTTGAGAAATAAGTATTCCTTCCATTTGGCCATTGTTCTGAATCAACTGAATTGAATCACAAATATTTCAGAAAATATCCACAAACATTCACATACACAACTGCTTGACACCATCCCAGGTGCTAGACTTCAATTTAAATCAAATTATTTCAAAGAACAAATTTCCTAAATGTAAATTACAATATTTTTCCTTGTATTTTATAATACCTTGAGTAGTTTATATGAAATATTTCTAGTTTTCCATACCAATCATTTTTAGGCATTTGAAAATTGTGACCAGTTTTAAACGTCTTACCCTAAGTAGAGTAGTCCACTAAATCAGTTGGATTTATTTGTGGTTTAACTAACCATTAAGTAAAAATGAACTAGGTTTACTGTATTTGAGACTTGCAGCAAGATTTTAGAACAAATTGTTACTATTTTTCTAACATAGTACATGAAATGTTACATTTTTGTCCTTTTACCGCTGGGTAAGGAGAAACCGAAAAGGATTTTGAGGACCACTGTACCTTTGAGCAAGAAAAATATGTACGGTATAAGTAACAATTGAATAGGATATAAACCCCTAATATTACCAGAAAGCAATATGAAATGATGGCTTTTTAAAAGATGTTCATACTTGTCAAATGCAATTTTAGAATAGGCTTATTTTATCAGTGAAACTTCTGTAAATATTGACTTGTAGAGTTCCCATTTAGAATGTGTGTATGTGGGCAAATTTGGAAGTCACCTGAAAACATGGCAACCTCATTTCATAGGGTTTTACTAGACAATGAATACTGAGAAGTGGTTTTGCAAGTTTCTTACTCTGAAATCTAGCCTAAAGCACCTGTCTATCTGGTTGGTTTAGCATCTATTCACACCTCTCAGCTGATCACAGTGAAAACTGGAATCAGCTTCAAACCAGAACTCATTCTAGGACTGTTGGATAATCAAATAAAAAAGGAATGTTAGAAAATAGTGCAGTACACGTTAACAGTAACAAATCCTACATCATCAAAAATGGAAAAAGAAAGAAACAGATTGGACAGTGAAAATTTGGGAATAGAAATGGATAAGTTAACCATTTTGTTGAAGGGGAAATCACTGGACACATTCTTAGAAAAATGTTTCTATTAATATGTATTTGAGGGGATGTTTTGTATTAATATATATGAGGGAAACTGAAAGACAGTTTTTGAGATAGTCAGCAACCTGCTGGATATAAGGTAGAAGAAGAAAAAGTTAAATTATAGGGAAACTGGTAAAGGGGAAGCAGGAAATCCTTTTAAAAAACTAATTCATGTATATTCTTTTGAAGATTCCATTGATTGTAAAACACACACTATTTTCAACATGACCACCCACAGTTCTAACACACCTGTTTTTAGAGATATTTATATATGGAAAAGTGAACCTTAGAATAGAAGAAAAAGGATTTGTTGGTGCTTTAATTACATGTAATTAGAGTAGATGTATGTCAGTGTGAAAATTGTGTAGCTGGTATTTAATTGTTCTTTACGTTTTAAAATATATATAAACATTGTTACTTTTATTTGTGTTTCTTCGGTTAAATTTTGCATTTTAGAAAAATGGGGGAAAAGGAGAAATTTACCTAAGATCTTGCTAGCTCTCATGTTGGTCTTTGGAAAGACCTCTTAGTCTGAATCTTCACAAACCATATAATGCAGCTTGAAGCTAGCTCAAGGTCATGGTGTCCACAAAGCATACATCCCCAGTATGCATTAAGCCAGAAACAGTGTATTCAAATGCAGTATACATTAAGCCAGAAACAGTGTGTTCAAAAACACCAGAAAGTTCAAAACAAGCCAAAAAATCCACTGCAGCCAATCAGAGTATATTCCATGCAGACCTCCAATCTGGGACTGGAAAATGAAGAATGCTTGCTAGGACACCTGGTGATGACGTGCTTTAAAAATGCAGAAATAGCTGGAAGGTAAATAAGAAAAGACATCATTCCCATGGGAAAGCTCACTTCCCACACCTCTGTTCTGATTTCCTGTTTCCTGCCTCTGTCTAGCAGTGATCCCGAAAGGACATAGTGATGCATCTCAGTGAACTGGGTAAGAAAGAAAACATTCTTGGGTTCAATTGCAAACTGCAAAAAGCGGATGCTGTGGCCACCTCATTGAACCATTCCTGGGGTGTTTGTGTAAGCAAGAATGCACAGTGAAAGAGGTCCATTTAAATCCACCTCCAAACAGGATGATGATGATGATTAACAACTTTCTTTGTACACAGCCACCATCTCTCAGAGGGAATCTAGGTGGCTCACAAAGCACTCAAAGGTGCAACCACACAAAATACAGAAAGTGTAAACAAACATAAGTGAACAACCAACATAAACATAACTTCACAATACCCCCTGGTTAAAACCAAAATACAGTGATAGCTGCAGGTAAAAACAACTGTAGTCAGTTTCAGTCTTGTAAAGTGCTTGATAAAAAAAATCTATAGGTCATATATATAGATTATAGTGTCTCTATAGTGTTAGAAGAAGCCTTAATTTTAGGGCTACAAAAGTAATAGGGTATATTTACTTTTATTATATGTTTTGTTATGGATTGCTGAGAGTCTGGATATTTTATTTTGTTCTACTTAATTTTCTTTAAGTTATATTTTTTCAGTTACAAAAAAATTAAAAAGACTGTCAGCCCTTGATGAGGGGAAATAGAGACGCCTAGTGTTCTACATGTGGGTTTTTCATTTCTAATGATTTTAAAAGAAATTCAACAATTAAGTTGAAGCTCATCTTTCTTTCATTCAAGCTGTGAACAACAGAATCCTAAGTTTGAAGGGACGGCAATGGCCACCTAGTCCAGCCATGTTTCATAGAGGGTTTACTGCAAATGTTCCCTTGAGAGATGGGCCTTAATCTTGTTTAATATAATGACGAAGTAGGTCATGTTAGACTCGAGTAAGGTACCTTGACTAGGTGCTGTTCCATTAGCCGGGTGTAGGCCGCCAGGGGGCGCTAGCTGAAGCAGTAAAACCATCCCCCCCCCCCCGTTTCCTGTTATGAAATGGGAAGGGGGAATAATCAACAAAAACTAAGGAAATTGCTTTCCTCTTTCAAACCCCCCACCCCCAACATGGACTATCCTCTCTCTCTCTCTCTAGCACCCCCTGGTGGCTTTTGCCTGTGTCAGAAGCGACTTGAAAAAAATGCAAGTCGCTTTTGGTATGAGAGAACTGGCCATCTGCAAGGACATTGCCCAGGGGACGCCCAGATGTTTAATATTATACCCTGCTTATAGGAGGCTTCTCTCATGTCCCTGCATGGAGCTCTGGAGCTGACAGAGGGAGCTGAAACTGTTACACTGAGTCCCCTGAGGGGTGAGAAGAGCGGGATGGAAATGAAGTAAAGAAATAAATGTTTCGGAGAGCTCTGGACATTGCTGTTTCTTTAAGGTGCTGGGAGTTTCAATGCAGCACAGGCTTAGAGGCCTTCACCTCGCCAATGGACTGTATTGCTTAGGCTATTTTTCTTCAGGGGAGGGGTAGTCATCAGCTTGAAATGATTACATGCCTAGCTTTGATCTATCCACTGAAGACATTGTGATGGTGATACCTTCATAGTGAGGCATGTGCCTTAATTTTACAATGTCATTAGCCTCCTCTGCCCAATAGTGCTGGCGCCTCACCAAACGACAGCTCCCAAGATTCCCTAGAACTGAGCCATGGGGGTTAAAGCGGTGCCAAACTGCATTAATTCTAGAGTGTGGCGGGCGCCCTTTTCGGCGAGGGCTCCAGCAGGGCCTCACCGCGGCCTCGGCGGTTGCCTGGGCGACGGCCCTGGCTCCGGCTCCCGGCCTCACAATCTGCAAGCCCCGCCCCGTTCCCACCCCTCGAGCCGCCTTCCCTCCCGGGGAGGCGCAGGCCCCGCCCTCAGTTGTCAAGGAAGTGAGGTCACACAACATGGCGGCGGCTGGGCCCCAGCGGCGCTGAGCGGGAGGGGGGATCCGGGTCTCGGGGAATCGGCCTCCATCCTCCCCAGCCGGGGCGCGCGGCCGCCCCCAGACCCCTCCGCCGCCGGGAGACGGGCCCCGGCCCGCCATGCTCGCCGTCCTGGCCTCGCTCTGAGCCGGGCTCCGTCCTCGCCGCTGGGTTGGGTCCACTCGAGCCGCGCCGATGGAGTTGAGAGTCGGGAACCGGTACCGGCTCGGCCGGAAGATCGGGAGCGGTTCTTTCGGGGATATTTACCTCGGTGAGGAAGAGGAGGAGGCGGGCGGTGGAGGG